GCTGTAGACTTATAAATTATTACACATGATTTAGCTTATTTAGTGATTATAAACGTAGTAAAGAACCAAAATTAGCGATTATTCGCGATGGAATTCGTAATAGCTCCGACTGTTGTGGCGGTCGAGCTGGGAGTGACCGTGGTACGAAAACAAAATGAAAAAGTGAAGGAAGATGGAACAATTCAAATTTAAAATTTAAATACCATGTAAAATAAAAAATGATAGGATACAAGCGGAGAGAGACGATACAAAGAGGTGAGATGACGGTGCAAGGAGGTCACACCGTCACAGTTTAAATTCCCTACCTCTTATACCGGAGGTTCCAAATACTTTATGCAGCTCGATATTTAGTTTAATTAAAAATGAATTTAACTATGTATTTAAATCGAAAACATTAACTTTCTATAGAAATACTAAATTCAACGACTGGGCAACAGTAGATATCATAAGAGGAGGTCTCGTTTGTATGAGCTATATGCTAAGAAAACTTATAATACTAATTCCAATTTTATAGAATATGTTTGAAATTATTCAAAAATATTTTAATAAGTATGTGTAGCTGCTAAGGTTAAGTTTCACAACGACAAAATTAGACAATCGATAAATAAATCTGAAACTACTTGGAGCGTAGTCAATAAAGAGTCAGCCAGGGTAAACAACACGATAGAGATATAGTTTTAGAATTACACGGCAAACTTATAAAATCTAAGAACAAGGTAACCCAAGCTTTTGAATCGTTATTTTCGGAAATTTCTGTGAATACTACGGAATTATTAAATTCCTCCCCTTCTCTTGCCGTTAATCTCCTAAAGGTTGTTAACGTTTGTGGCAGTTTATTTAATTTCCTGTTAATCCACAAGACATCATAAAAGCTATTAAATCAATATAAATTAAAAAATCTGAAGATCTCTGGGGCATATCAACTAAAGTTATAGACTCAGTTATTGATCTAATTTCCCAACATTTAAGTGTTGCTTTCAATAGGTGCGTTGACAAAGCTCTTTTTCCCAATTTAATGAAATACAGCAAGGTTATTCGCTAATTCAAAAGCGGTAGGAAAGTTGATCCTAGCAACTTAGGCCCATTTCACTTTTACCAGCTTTAAGTAAAATATTCGAAAAGGTTATACTGACTCAATTACTGGGTTACAAGCTAGAAACATGATTTATAGAATTTTGTTTCTCCGAAAACCTTTAGATTTTTATTGAATAGATTTTGTTTCATTTGTCCGAAAACACGTTACGGTTTATTTCATTACACCATTTAAAGTTTAACTATTTTGACATATTGAAAGTTATTCTTTTCCCGATTTTTATTTCCCCAATAAACCGTTTGACCAATGTTTCTAATTGAATATTTTTATTTTGTAAAAAAACGATACATTTTTGTTATATTATTTCTTATTACAGATATTAAAACTATTAGAACGTGTCACAAAATACAACTCGTCAAATTAAAGCACCTCGCATCTTTACAAAATATGGTAAACGAGATGCAAGTTAATTTGATCGAGTTGTAGTCGCTCCCTTCACTCGTTCGGATCGTGCTGCTTTTTCATATACTAAGTTAACCTAAACCTACAGGGGGGGTCGAACCGTCTAGGTAATGCAAACAAATTTGACCCTGGAACTCGCCAACCGCTGCCGCTGCGTGCTTGCTACACTCGCTCGGCTCGTGCGGCTTTTTCATATACTAACCTAACCTACACCCACAGGAGGGGATGGTACTGTCTAGGTAATGCAAACAAATTGGGCTCTGGCACTCGCCGGCCGATACCGCGGCACGCTCGCTACGCTCGCTCGAATCGTGCGGCTTTTTCATATACTAACCTAACCTAAACCCACAGGAGGTGGTCGTACCGTCTAGGTAATACAAACATATTCGGCTCTGGCACTCGCCGGCCGCTGCCGCGGCACGCCGACTTCGCTAGCTCGGCTCGTGCGGCTTTTTCATATACTAACCTAACCTAAACCCACAGGAGGGGGTCGTACCGTCTAGGTAATACAAACAAATTCGGCTCTGGCACTCGCCGGCCGCTGCCGCGGCACGCCGGCTTCTCTCGCTCGGCTCGTGCGGCTTTTTCATATACTAAGCTAACCTAAACCCACAGGAGGGGGTGGTACCGCCTAGGTAATGCAAACAAATTCGGCTCTGGCACTCGCCGGCCGCTGCCGCGACACGCTGACTTCGCTTGCATGCCTCGTGCGTTTTTTTCATATACTAACCTAACCTTAACCCACAGGAGGGGGTCGTACCGTCTCGGTAATGCAAACAAATTCGGCTCTGGCACTCGCCGGCCGCTGCCGCGACACGCAGGCTTCGCTCGCTTGGCTCGTGCGTCTTTTTCATATACTAACCTAACCTAAACCCACAACATTGTTTTTAAATTATATTTCAGATGACAGCAAAAACATAGCACAATGGTGTGACGAAAATTACGTAAGTGGACTTGCTGTGCATCAGCAAAATACAATCCAGAATATTGGAACTGTACGGTAAAATTGTATGGCGTACAATTTTATACAAGAATAATAATTTTGTCGAAACGAATTTTCAGCAATCTAAATATATGGAAAACAGACAGTATAACAAACATGATTAGACTAAACAAACTTCTGTTAAAAGAATACGTATGTGTAATAATTATTTTAATAATAGGTTTTCGGACAAATGATATTTCTGCTGTAAGACATTTCTGTGTTTGTGCAAATTTGGACAAAAACTGTTATCGCGCTAATGCAAAAAAGTCGAACCGTTTTCGGAGTAGGTAATGAAATTCGGAAAAAAGAAATTCGAGTTTGTGATAGGTTACCCAATTACTGTCCTATTTTGGTAGGAATTATATTTTTCATAGAGAACAACGCGGGTTTACTAGTGGTAGATCGACTAGCGATGCGAGGGTAGCGTTATTAAAACACATCTTTGATGCTTGGGAAAGGTCCCAGAACGCTATTGGTGTCTTCTCTGACTTCTCCAAGGTATTTGATTGCGTGGACCATATTACTCTTATTAGGAAGCTGGAATGTTACGGTGTAAATGGCAAGGCGTCGGAACTTGTCATGTCTCAACGGTGCAATTTAGAAAGTAGACATAAATGGAGTGACTTCTTTGGGTTCTCCGGTAAAAATGGGTGTTCCACAGGGCTCAATACTTGGACCTTGCTTATTTCTGTTTTATATTACTGATCTGCCATCCTTTGTTAAGGACTATTGCGAAATAGTATTGTTTTCTGACGACACATCCTTGATTTTTAAAACAGACAGTCATGAAATGCTAACTATTTATTGCTTAATACCAAGAAGACAAATGTTAAATTTGAATTACTTAACCTAAAATCGACTGCTCCAAGCATAGAAATAAACGGAGAATTGTTAGACCTTGTTAATAAAGCAGTATTCTTGGGAGTGACCTAAGATAGTAAACTTCAATGGTTTCCGCATATTATATCTTCCAGAGAAAAGTTTAAGGAGACTGGTACTATGAATGTGACATCACAGTACATTTACTCAAATATTTATATGCCCGTAAAAATATACATAATCTCAATAAGAAAGAAGATATCCATAATATTTTTATATTAGAGCTAAGTCCGAACTCATGGTTCGGTTTCGATTTCGTTTAACCAAGGTAAACGACTTTTTTATGGGGAACTGTATACGTTTTGACAATAAGATTACGGAGCATATATTAAGATTATTATTTCCTAAGTTTAAAAACTACATTAAAAATGTTTTGATTGAAAACTCATTACAAATTGAAGACTACGTGTTAGATAAAGATGCATGGACAGACGACATGACTCCAGAATCCACACAAATTTTATTCAAAGTGCATAGTCCATAGCATTTAAGTTTATTTGAAAAGAGCAATCCCTAGCTAGAGTTTCTTGCTCGTTCTTCTCAGGGAAGTCAGCGTAGCAGTAGCTTAAATAAGACGTTTACAAGTGTAAATTTATTTTACCTATGGAATAAATGATTCTTTGACTTTGACTTGTGTGTCCGTCGACAAAAATACGTTATTTTCCCACGTTAAAAAATATTTATTTATACCTATTTTTTTACACTTTGTTGCACTAAAAAAAGCAGATGGTGAAATTAATATGAGAAATTGATATATAAATATACATAATAAATTATATATAATTATTTTTAAATTGAAATATCCTCAACACTTGAATTTAAAAATATACATATAAAATTGTATACTTGCGGATATCGATACACACCCTTGCATTTACAATTTCCTACTATTTCTTGACAATACCATTTCCTGACAAATGCATTAGTCTAGCGCATGTTCTAAATACGATTTTTTAATGGCTTAAACTTATACGGTAGCTGGAAACGCGTACCTAATTCGTCGCTTCAAGGGGAGAACGTGTGAACGATATTGCGGGGCTATGTTGAGTGTGTGCGTTATTATTATTATTATTTCAGTTTAGGCCGTTAGAAAAGCGTACCTAATTAATTTCTCCTTGGGCTACGTATTGTATACGAAAAGCCGCATCCCGAGCAGGGGTGTAATCGTTTTTACAGACTAAATATTTTCTTCAGGAACCGATTACACAATTGTGAATTGATATGTGGGTAATATCGACAACGTGTTTAGCGATATAATTGTTTCATTAAATGTCGATGCCGCCAACAAACACTACGCCAACTTCATTTTTGTTCATTTTCTGTTTTTAATGTAAATAAGGCTTTATTTAGGTATTTGCTAATATCATGCTCCCCGAATTTTGTTTATTTTTTTTTTAGTTTTTCTTTATTTTTTGTTTTCTTGAAATTTGGGGTGCATGATATTAGTAAATAAATAGGACTGTTTACATATAAACAGAAAATGACCAAAAATTAAGCTGACGTAGTGTTTGTTCATTGGAAGTATCGATTCTGGAAACAAAAGTGTTATAGGTACCTAGTACGGGAGACGGTACAAATTTATTTGACATTGTAGTAGCAGAAACTCTAAATGTGTTGTTACGTTTATCACTTGTTTTTCAGAACATGACAAAATCGAGTGGCTCGGGGCGCGAGACACCAGTAAAATCGGAACCTTCCAGGACAGAAGCAACACCCACCACCTCTGTGGTGACGCAAGACAAAGCCAAGGATGGTTCGGCTCACCCGCATCCTGGAAGCGATACCAGGGTAAGAGCATTTGTAAATTCATACAAAGAATGATCGATGTCACATTTTTGTAAACTTACAATGCTATAACAGCAATGACTGATTAAATTTTACTTTCTTCCTTGTCTTGGGTAACGAACGCACCTCATCACGCACTTACACGTTCTGAAGTGTGTACGACTAATGTTGAATTTACAAAAGTAAATTTTATCGTTTGTGTACTAGTATGTGGTCTTGTACCATGAATTTTCCATTAACTACCCAATTTCAATGAAAACATTTGTTAAATAAAATGCAGTATTCAAAATTGATAATTTAGATGAGTACGCACTTTGAGATCAGGTAGATGGAAAAAAATATTTGAGCCGATGCCTGTTTATTGCTGAATACTTAACTATTTCATATATACTTTGCTATTTATTTATATTAAAAACTGCTATTTATTAGCAATAAAAAACTGTTACTTCAGTCGTTTTTTTATTGGTTACGCCATCTATCGTACTGCTCTTGAACTACAAACCCCGCTACGTATACTAAAATGGATGTAAAATGGTAAACGGGCAACGTCCTTCATTTGGATAGTATATTAGTTGTAACCTTAGTTGAATACATTTTATGTGATTGTGTATTTATTTCAACAGTATTATCATACTGTAACGGCATCGGCAACACGGCGGCCTAGTGCGATGGCGAAAGTTATGGACATATTCCGCGGGCGCGCCTCGATGCCTGGACAAAATCTGTTGCCTATTGAAAGCTCCGAGAAACGGAAAGTGGTGAGTTAGTAGCTAGTATACTAATTTGCCGGTAGATGGCGTTTACTTTAACAATTCACTCAAAATATGCCACTGATCACACATTATTTACTTTGCATATTGGCAACGGAAATTGATGCACTTTATTTGTCGGTGTGTCTTTGCGTTTTTGAGCCTTTATATAATAATAACAAAATGAATAAGAATTACATGCACAGAGGTCAGACTAACTTACTAATTACATGGGTATGACTTCAGCTAGCAAATAGTAATTCTTTTTGTTAGCAATGATATTATTCTTTGGTTTGTGATGAAAAAGTTGCACTAATGAGAACTGGTATACGAACTTTATGGTAAACTGTTGAATAAGTTGCATGTATAATAATTCAGACGTATTTATTTTTTTTTAGTAGGGACGGTTCATGAAGTAGCTTACGTACAATGATTATCGCTCTTTTTGTCCTTCTGAGTGACCTAAGAAAAATAGCTGATTGTACATTCGGCAATGTAGTCTTGATTGTTTATGCTGGTGTTGGCGATAATCACAAATATTCCGACATAATCATATAGTTATTTTGTGATATAATGCTATTGCCAATTTAACCTGTCTTGTCAGCCATTGTAGTTCAATGACCTGGTTCTCCCCTTCCCTATTATTGTTTAATCTCACTTGATTTATTTTGTAAGTGGATTCAATTGTAGGGGCTCTGTGTCGGTTATACAATACTGAGAGCCGCAACAATAATAATAAACTTTAACAAACGCTATATGAAGATGAGTGCTCAGTTCGAAGTCCAGAAGACATTCTGGTTGGTATATTCTGTACTTTATAAGTCTTTATTAAGTAGCAATGGAAGGTCATTGGCCAATGTGGAACAATGAGCCACTGCAATTTTTGTTTTATAATATCAAGTGACGGGACGATCCGGTCTGGCCTGGTGGTAAGCGACACACCTGTCCACAACAGTTGCAGTGCCACTCTGAGCTTTAAATCGCAAAGATCTGAGGGGCACTGCCACTACGCTCGTCACCCTGAGACATAAGTTGACAAGACCCATGTGCCTTACCCCTCAAAACCAGAACGCAGTAATACTCAAATTACTGCTTAGCGGCAGAAATAGGTAAAGTGGCAGTGCTTACCTGGACAAAATCTTTCACAAAGAGCTCTACTGCTACAAAAAATAATATAAATATATAAACAAATTCGTGTGGTGGTAATTATATTTTGTCGTTTCTGTTGTTATATTTGCAGTGACTAAGTAAGTACTGTGCCTTAACTGTCAAGTGTGTACTTAAAGCTCATTACGTTAATACATAAAGTATCGGATACAGTTACTGCAGGGTTTGTCGCACCGTAAGTATTCACTGTGACATGACGTTTTGTTTTATTTCCTTAGTGATTAGAGTATAGATATTTGATTGCTTTTGTTTATGTAAATACGTGTGATCTTGTATGAATTATGCAGTTAAGTACGTATTAGTTCAAATAGTAAAACTTAACGTTGTGTCGGTGAATTTACAAGGTGAAATAACACCAGTTTTCATAATAACGATGAGTTATATCGGTCGTGTGGACAGAGTGTGACGCAGTTGCTATCTAAACGATTAATAAAGTCCAAACATACCTACGTGACATAAATGTAAGGTTATACTTGAAACGCAGATAACACATTTAAAATTGTAGTCATTGCCAATTAGAAAAGTGACAAACAATAAACGTAACTATTTTATTGATAACAATCGCCATTGTGTGTAGTTAGACGTACTTGAAAAATACAAGTAAATGAGTAAGACGATTGCTCATAACATTGTTTATTAGAAACCACTAAACCGGTTGTATTAATGCGAAAGATGTTTATTGCGATCGCATTCGTGTCTTAGAACACATACGGCACAACCGCTGGCCAGTAAATTACTTAAACACGATTTTATAAAATTGGACGTGTAAAATGTGAATGGTAACGGAGCTGGCGTGTGAAGTGATACGACTTGATACTTGCCGCGGAGAGGAGCGCGAGTGACGAGTGCGCAATTGTGTTGAGTACGACGTGATAAGCGGCGCCCGCGCATCTCCGCGCGCACTTCCCAGTTCCGTAGCGGCTGCGGAACTTGACAGCATCGGAAATCGGTCGCGTACACACTTCTGTATTGCATAACGAAGCGTCGCGTGACATCGCCCCGGCAAGTTATCACTCGGTATTCGCAGAGATACCTCCACATTGTAACAGCGTCGTTACCTCGTTAAGAAATGAACTTACTTCCGAACACTTGTACTAACAAACCGTATCAAAGGCATGTAACAGTAATTTGTGAGTGATTGTGCGGTGAGATGGCGCATTACTTTCGGTGGAAAAAGGGGAAAAGAGACGAGGATGTGTTTTATTCGGAAAAGCCCCGCAGTAGGTCTCTTGATCCTCGCTCACTGGAGCTGAGCGGCATCAGACTGGTGGCACAATACCACCAGCAGCAGCAACAGCACCAGCATCAGCAGCAACGCCAGCAACAGCATCAACAACAACAGCAGCAGCAGCACTCTGCACACGTACAGGTATCTCGATCAGCAAGTTGTGCGCAAAGTACTGCAATCGCGATCTCGGTACATTATTTAAATCGCTTAAAACTACATATCGGTATGATTTTATTATTCAAACCAAGCATTACTAATTTGTTATTTATGGCACGGTACGAGCATGTCCACAATTTATCGGTCGTTTTGTACGTGTTTATTTTGCTTGCGCATTGGTTCATAAATATAATCTGAATATTTTTTATTTGCCACATTCATTCGGTTTATACATTTTCTGTGGGTTCGTTTCTTATGATTTTTAGTGATGTTAACACATATTATTGAACTGCACTACGTCTACGTTTACCTGACCATTTAAATTATTGAGAAACGTAAGCAATTTAATTAGCGACTGCCTTTATAACAACACCTTAAGTGACGTACGACGTAACCATCGTCAAAATGATTTGAATGGCCTTCTTTTATTTTTCATGGCTTTCGTACGTGAAGTCAATTCAATCATATAAGGTACATTTATGTTAAACATGTATTTTTAGCACACTGAACAAACGAACGTAGATATTTTGATTAGTTTACCTGTTCGGAACAAGATTTGGCACACGAACATTTTTATGTGGTAGTTTGATAAGTATTTTTTACAAATTCGCAGGTGACTGAATGCTTGCGTCATTGAATGACTGGCGAACTTTGTAGTGTAGTTCGCAAGTTTAACTAAAGTCATAATTAAGTATATAATAGACACAAATAATACAGTAGAAATTTCATAGCAGAGGCATTTGGTGGGTCGTTTGCGATTTCTGCTGCGCCTCTGCTATCGTGCTCCGAAACTGATAAGTAGATTATAGCTCTTTAAAGTTGTCACTTTTTTATGCTAACGTGTAAACGTAAACCGTTTTGATAAAACACCATCTGTATATTCCTAATATTTGATCTAACACGCTAATGACCTTTGGTTTTGGTTGAAATGTTAAAATGTTCGACACTATTGTCTTTACTTTAAATGTCACTTGTAGACGCTTTGCTGATAAATGTAAGGTTATAGTAAATTTACTAACCCTATTTTAATGCCGTATTCATTAATAACTTTCGCAGATAATGTTCATTATGGATATAATTTAGCATATCATCCAATAATCTTTAAAATTTATGAATTTAAATGCGTGCTATCAATCTGGCTGGAATATCTTTTTTTTCTACGAAATTAACTTCGTTGATATTTTTTATAAGACATCTAACAAACCTATATAATTCACTAAGTAAATCGTGGGCTTCCATTGGAACAGTTAGTTCCAGTGGAACTCCACGTTTGTACATGTTTGTTTTGGGCTTGTGTTACTTATTTATTTATTTAGTTACTCCAGCTTATATGAACGGAATTGCGTTTCACCGCCGAGTGTCTATTATCTAGTGTTTTCATGATAGATCTGTCTCATGATACTCTGGGACCCTGACAGTATTGTCCTTACGCTTTGTGAACTGTAAACGGTTGCTTCCGTGTTATCAGATGGTTAAACGTGTGTCAGTACCTAAAGCCAATGATGAATTGTTGTTTGTTCATATTCATTCATACATAGGTTAGACCCGGAAAATACACAAAAACACACATGGAAGTTTTCACTGTAAATCCTGTCTTCTAAACTAAACAACCTTCAGTTATAAAATGCATGAAAGTGAGATACAGAAGTGAATTCTTGATCTCTTTATGGCTTTCATGACCTTTTTATGTCAGTAACTTTTTACAATACAATTACTTAAGATTACTATGTACTCATAGTGCAGAAAATCGCCTTCACGAGTTGTCAGTCGTACGTGACTGTTTAAAGGTGCTCGTATCTTACAAATTTAACGCAAATATCTAAATTATTACGTCGTATTAACTAATGAAATCGGAATATTCTTGAGTTTGCTGAAAACGATTCCTCTCTTCTTGTTTCTCTGTAAATTTACCAATCATAGTAAAATGAAGTTTTCTCACATCGCTTTTCATAGACTTCGTCATATTATTATTAAGAGAATCACAAAAATTGCAGATAACACAACACAACTGACTCCAACTTCCGAATAGTGACATAAATATTGGGGTTGTCAGCTTCATTTAAAAAAAGAACTCAGTCTCATCTTTCGTTAGCCAGATTTACAGTATTCTTATGAGGAACATGAATCAATTTAGCAAGTTTGCGCGCTAGTTATCTGCCTGCGTCATATGATAATAGCTGATGAGCCGTGGACTGAAGTAGAACATCACAACAGTAGAGGGATATGAGGGCCGATGTTGGGGAAGATGACACAGCCCAACGACGAATTGCCCGTTAAAACCTCTTTTGATAATAACATCAACTGCTACGCACATAACTTATTTTGTGACTTACCTACTTAATTAAAATTAATTTGCCAATTTTTGTTTTGTTACTTTTTTATCAAAACCAAGTGACGGGACGAACAAGTCGTGCGCCTATGGTAAGTGACGCGCCTATCCACAGCAGTTGCAGTGCCA